GATGAGAGGTTTTCGCCAAAGACATGTTCGACTGTCGCTTCGCACCCCCGAAGGATGTAGTTTATTCCGTGCAACTCGACGTCATTTAATAGACATATTGTTTCAATTTTTTACCAAAATTTGTTGCAAAGGTTGTTGCTGATATAATGGTGAAGCAATTTAGCCATGTAACAAGTGGGGAGAGAGGCACATTGGTTACCACTGATTGCATCGTTAGTGCCACGGGACAATACCTACCACCAGCAATGGTTTTTCCTAGGGTGCATCTAAAGGAGCATATGCTACGAGGCTCCCCATCAGGAACTTTGGGGCTTTCTACTCCAAGTGGGTGGATGAATGCTGATCTTTTTTTAGAAGTAATGAAGCATTTTATAAAATATTCTAATAGCTGTAAAAAAATCCATCGCTTTTAATCTATGACAATCATGAAAAACATCTTAGTCATCTCTCGTGTTCTTAATTTGGCCAAAGACAACGGAGTAACAATTCTAAAATTTCCTCCTCATTCCACAAATAAGATGCAACCACTAGATGTGGGAGTATTCAAAGCATTCTCAACATGTTATAATTCATCTGTAGATACCTGGATGATGCAACATCCAGGTAAGCCTTTCACCATATATGAGGTAGCTGAGTGCATCGGCTTTGCTCATAAAAAAGCTCTCACACCGAGCAATATTATGAATGCTTTCAAAAAGTGTGCTATATGTCCATACGATGCCAATGTCTTCACAGATATAGACTTTCCAAGCGCTGTTACCGTTCGCGATTTAAAAGATGATGTAAGCCAAAACAAGTCCATCGATCTACCAAGTACATCAACATCAACAAATAAAATATCCGTGAGTGATAATATTCAAGAAAATATATCGGATATAAAAAATTATGCTACCTTAGACACCAGTATTGAAAATAGCAATCAACAAACCGATAAAAATGGCAAGACTGTCACAAATGTTTTTAAAAGCCCAGAAGAATGTAAGGGCTTTCCAAAAGCATGAGAACGCAAAACTAAAAATACGCGAAGAACGGACAAAAGTGTTATAGCTACTGACACACCCGAAAAAGATGCCATATAAGAACAAAGCATTACGATGAAAAGAAAAATTGATAAAATCGAAGTGAACAAAGTAGAAAAGGTCAAGAAACAAATATTTGAAGATAGTTCTGAAAGCTCAGAGGAGGAACTTGAACTTGGTTCATCCTCAGGGGATGACTGCTACTATAAAATCAATCCAGATGGATTTGAGGAGCTTCATAGAAAGTCCATAGAAAATGATGTTGTGCTCGTGGAATTTTCTGGAAAATTGGAGAAGGTGTATTATGTTGGAAAAGTCCTGAAAATAAATAAGTCATAAGAGTATGAAATTTCGTATCTTAGAAAACAAACGAAAGGCACCAGCAAATGTGTATTTCCCAATATTCTAGATCAAGCTATTTTTGCTTTAAAAGATATCAAGCTCATCATGCCACCCCCAATGTGGGCACACTAGCCGACAGATGGCTTCTTTTACGGTTGAGATAGATTTTGGATTAATGGACAGTAGGTAGATACACACCTAGATATTATATTTTTATGTTTACTCATCTTTTTATGTTCTGTATCTTTTTTTTTTTGTTTATTTTGGAAGTGTCTTTTGTGTTCAATAAATATGATTTATAAACTATGGTCGCAACAAATAAGTATCAAAATGATGCTATGAAAATGATATATTAATCTCAATAATATTATCCTCAATAAACTTTTTCAAAACGCAACAGCCTAAATAAGATTTTTTGACATGCTAGATTATATATTTTATGTAATGTAATTAACTAAAATTAATTACAAGGCACCATCTTCATAGAACTCTACTCTAGCACCCTTTTTTGGACTAGCTAAATTGGGTTAAATTGTCTTAAAATTATCTGAGCAATCTCTGGTCTTCATTTGTCAAGAGAGTTTCTGGACACCCTGTATATGTGTAATTTTATCATATGGTTCTACCCAATACTGGAGAGGGGTTGTAAAGAAGCAGAACTAATCACCACTACACAAACAAGAATTGCCACTATACATCAAGTGGCTTAAGTATTCCGGATGGTATACCTAGGCCACTTGATGGGTGATCAAGTGGCCTATTCACCTATTCGATATTCAAATATCGAAAAGATTCACGAAAGAAAAACAGAATTCTGGGTTGAAGAATGTAAGTGATTGGTATGAATGCAGATCAATTGATTTGGTTATGGCAAAACATTCAAAAATCAAAATAGCCATAATCTAAGAAGTTCAATTCCCATGTGTCTCAGGCGTAAAGTTTATAACAAATGTTGTTTGTCCGTACAAATTTATCATGCAGAGACTGACACAAAAATTCGCAAATAAACGAGTTACACAAACAGCCATGGAACGTGCAATTTTGAGCGTGAGTCTTCGAGACCACATAACAAACCAACAAATCAGGCAAACATCAACCGTTTACGACGTTATCGAAGAATCACGACGTTTACGTGGAACTGGGCAGGCCACTTAGCTAGAACACATGATCGACGGTAAACAAGACGAATCATGGAATGGGGGCCCAAAAACTATAAGAGAAGCCGAGGACGACCACTGACTAGATATACCTAACACGTGAAAAGAGTAGCGGGAAACTGGATACAAGCGGCTCAGTGTAGAAAGCGTTGAAGGAAACTGAGGGAGACCTACGTCCAGCAGTGGACACGACTGGTTGATTAATAATGATAATAGCAAAAGAATAGTGTGAAGATAAAAGATAATTCTTAGTAAATAAAACTGGTTTATCTAATCGGCGTGAGAAATATAAGTCAGAAATTGGATATTAAGCAACCAAAATATAAAAACATACCTTAGAACAGACATAACTAAATCTTTTTAAATATTGTTTATACTGTGAAACAACTCGTGCCGCGAAACTCAGACTAAATAAATCATTTACTTTGGTATGAGAAGGTTCCACCTACCACATAGAACCTTGTCACACATAAAATGTCAAGTTTAAAAAGTGACAAGGTTCCAACTGTAAACAAAAAAAAATTGTAAATTTCTTGCCAAGGAGCATTTTTTTTACCAGCCAAAACCTTTGTATGTATATAACTAAGAAGTATGTACACAAAATCAAACAATATAGCAAAAACACTTATGTGGTGTCAAAGTTAAACTTTGGGGAATGTTTTCTCAAAACTAGGTTGTGGTTAGTTGGAACCCTGTCATTGAACGTAATCATTAATCATGTTGAGTAATCATTGAACGACCCATCAGAAACGGTGGGTGCTAGTGGGTAACAATATAACTATGTACCTCCGAAAATTGAGAACAGAACAAAATATAACTCACAACCTTCTTTTGGAGCCAATTGTTAGACCTCGTTTAGCTTAGTCTTTCAGGTGTGAGAACATCTTATCTTAGAACTAAATCTGAAAAATGTGTTTAGGGCAAAAAAATGTGGCTAGGACAAATAAACCACCATATTAACTAATTAAATTTATTATACATTAATAAAGATAAAATTGAAATTTTCTTATTAAATTGAAATCAAACAAAACAAATCTTGCCTATAGCTTGACAAAAAGATTTTTAAATTATACTTATGGCTTCTGATGTTGTCTTTAGGTAGCTGGACAGGATAGCAGAATATAGTGGTTAGTTGCTGATGTAGCTGAATCTAGATTCTTTCATGTTTGTATCTTTATGTGGCCATTAGTGCTGAATAGCAGCTGCAGTTGTAATTGCATGGTCGACCATGTGCTGTGGAATTCTTCACCCAAAAATGCTGGACAAAAATTAGGCCAAAAAAAACTAGAAAAATTAACCTTGTGTTAGCAACAGCATATGTTTTAAAATATTTCCGTACCATATGAAAATTGAAAATAATAATATTAAATAACAAATAGCCAATTGGCAAGGATAAAATAAATATAATTATTATATAAATTAATATTATATTATAAATACGGCACAGAAATCAATCAGAAGAACTCCGTAAGTAGCGAAATTAATGGACGTATTTCCAGCGGGAATCGTACATACTGTGCTAATAAAAGATTGATGACATCGAAATTATTAGACAAAAGAACCAAAATGACTATCTACAGAACACTGATTAGACCCGTAGTAACCTATGGATGTAAAACTTGGCTAATGACGAAAAAAGATGAAGCCCAACTCAGGACATTCGAGAGAAAAAAAATACTGAGGAAAGTATATGGCCCGGTACAAGAGGAAGATGGCACATGGAGAATAATGAGAAACGACGAGGTTAATGAGTTAAATGAAGGTTATGACATTGTAAGATTTGTAAAAAGTCAAAGACTGTCATGGCTGGGACATGTGCAAAGACAAAACGATACAAAAACAACAAAGAAAATGTTACAATGGAAGCCCATAGGAAGGCGAAAAAAAGGAAGGCCCAGAACGAGATGATTGGATGGCGTGGAAGACGACCTGAAAACAATGAACATAAGAAAATGGAGAAGAAGGGCACAAAAGAGATCTGAATGGAAGGACATAGCCAGACAGGCAAAGACCCATCCAGGGTTATGATGCCAGAAGAAGAAGAAGAAGATATTATAAATACTAACTGTATATTGAATGAATTATAAGTTTAAAATAAACATGTTCTGATGAGGTTAATATGTATGTATAAAAAATGAAATTGTAAAAGACAGGTATTGGTTAAATATTAAATATAGCTTATCCCAGAGAAGTTTTTAACAATATAAATGAATGAAATTAATGAATGTGCAATGGGCTCAATGATAATCGACGCGGTTCAACCCGGAAGACTCTTAAGTTTAATATTAATTCCTGTAATAGTATTAATCTTAGCTCTAGGTTTAATTGTACTCACCACCGAAACCTTTCAGAAATATATATATATATATATATATATATATATATATATATATATATATATATATATATATATATATATATATATATATATATATATATATATGTATATATATGTTAAGTAAAGTAATAAATAAAATACGCATAAAAAGAAACAATTTATTAATACAATTACATGAAATCACAGAAATTTTTGATAAAAACAACAAAATCTAAAAATTACGATGGTTCATAATATAATAATATCTTCCACTAGATCCAACTGTATTCATTTGGAAATCGTTGTTAACTGAACAACATAATTGTCATCATAACATCATGTTTTAGACAGTAAAAAACATAATGTGACGAACCTTGAATAAAAAGAGGAAGATACAAAAAACCCTATAAAATTGTATATTTCGGTAAACTTATTTAGGATGCCAAACGTCTAAGTCAAATGTAAAAGTCAAATGTCAAAGTCAACTGTCAAAGTCAAATGTCAAAGTTAAAGTCAAATGATGTTTACTTCAAAAATGTCACAGTCGAACTAAATTTGAAAGTCATAAATTGAACAGCAGCATGATATTATTACAATGTATACTAAACCTAAGCGATACATACATCATTCATAACAGAATAATTGGGTCGCGGCACATAAAAGCTCTTTGTATTAGCGGTAAGTAAGGTAAGATAAATACTAATTACTACATTTAACAGGTTAAGTGCCACATACACCCCATTGGGTGAACACGAGTATCCCTCGCCAGTGCTAAGACAAAATCTTGTGCACTGCTCACGGGTGCCATAGCTATATTTTCTGTATTTATTATCACAGAACAATTTTACAGGTACCATTCGGTTTCTAGTTGAAAAACCCAGATAGTTATACATTAAACCTGGACCATCCAAGTTTGTGGGCTGATACCAGAAACAGCAATGTTCACTTGTTATCTTTTAGTACCCAACTTGTTGCACAGTTTATTAGAAATAAAGTTTGACTGTGAAGCGGAGTCTAAAATGACCTTACACGAATGGTAATGGCCAAAACATCACAAATAAGAAGAAATACTGCTGACAGCAACCCCTGAGTGTCAGAAAAACAAGAAGAGGATGGAGGCATTTGGTTTCTCCAAAATGTTCTAAGAAGAAATAGCATGTTGTGACTTCTTACAACGTTTGAGCAATTTTATTTGTTTCTCTTACCATCTGTTCAATTACGTGTTCCGATAAAATCATTTTCTGATGAATAATATTGGTCCAAAATACTGGCTACTCTCTCCTATTCTCATTAGGAGATAACTTACGCACTTACGTGATTCTCACAAGGATAACTTACGCTTTTCACGTCCATTGTATTTTAGTTTTCAACAAATATCTAAATAAACCACTAATATTTAGGTAAACAGTACTAATCGTCAAACACGTGAAACAATGAAATAGTTTTTGACTGTCTACCCATATGGGTTTACACTATCTTTTAAAATTAACGGTTTTTTTGGTAACGCAGATTTCTGTTATTACATTTTCCATTTGAATACGTATTAGCTCAAAACGTAGTATAGGAATCTGCAATATAAATACTGCTCATACCTCTCAATTTGAACCACAACTAATTTAATAAATAAATCATTAAAAAATTTATTTAAAAATCCTTTATAAAAGGTATATAATTAATTAAATATATTTATAATTAATTAAAACCAGGAATACTGAAAGATGCAAATGGAAAACTTGTGTTGAATACCAACCACAAATTAAAGATATGGACAGAGTACATCAATGAACTGTTCCAACACAATAGAACAGAACAGATGGAGATAGAAGTAGAAGATCATATGGTTTTAAAGATACTAAAAGAGGAAATAAAAATGGCTTTGAAAAAGAGCAAAAATGGTAAAGCATTAGGTTCAGACCAAATCCCTATAGACATCGATAGAATTCATGCATGAATGATGAAACCGTAGACATTATAGTAGACTTATTTAACTCCGCATACAGAACAGGACACATACCCAAACAATGGTTACTCTCCACCTTTTGTGCTATCCCTAAAAAAACAAACGCTAAATATTACAGTGAATACAGAACAATATCAATAATAAGTCACTTTATCAAATTATTCCTGAAAATAATACATGGTCGTATAAATAAAAAAACTGGAAGAAGGAATAGATGATATAGTCAGTTTGGGTTCAGAAACGAACTAGGAACCACAGAGCGCTGTTTGCTTTTAATGTGTTAGCTCAAAGATGTATGGATATGAATGTTGATATGCATGTTTGTTACGTTGATTTTGAAAAAGTATTTGACAAAGTAAGACATGAAAAATTAGTCCAAATTCTAAAGACAACAAACATAGACCGTAGGGACTTACGAATAATAACAAACCTCTACTGGAATCACAGGTACAGTAATTATGCCCATATTACATGTCTGTGTTTTTTAATATGAATAAACTGTTAAGGCAGACAAAGTAAGATCTACAAATTGGTATAAAATAGTCTATTGAATTGTAATAAATTAGTAAACAAATAAAATATTACTTATATGCCGGTACAAGATTTATTATTAATTTGGAAACAATGATTTGTTCTCCAAATAATTAATAAATCTTGTACCAGCATGTAAGTAATGTGTTGTTTATTTACTAATTTATTACAATTCAATAGTCTATTTTATACCAATTTGTAGGTATTACTTTGTCTGATTAAACAGTTTATTCATATTAAAAAACAGATATGTAATACTGGCATAATTACTGTAATTTTTTATTATTTTATCTTATATTTATCTTTATAAGACAGCACCCTAATATGGGCTTTTATTATTTCAGCATTTAATAACTTTGTACCGAGTGACCTGAAGATGCTTTTCAAATTGTAGAAAACGAAACCGGACGTCTAGGTAGTTAAATTAAATTAAACTGATTGTGAGTAAGTTTTGTTTATTTCTTTGTTATCTAATTAATTAATTATTATTTTAATTATATCTTTTATAAGAGATTTTTAAATAAATTTTTTGTGATACGTGGTATACAGCCAGATACAGGAACTTAGTTTACTTGTGGAAATAAATCATTGTTATACAACCAATTAGATACACAAGCAAAAATTTGAGTTTTTTGTCCACCCATTTGGGTAGACAAAACGCTTGGCACTTAACCTGTTATTGGGAATAACAAATTAAAAATGCTTTATATTTGGCTTTTGATTTCCACCTCGAAAATCGCTCTCAAGATTATAAGTTAAACCATATTAAGATATCCGTGTTGATTTTGAATGAACGATAGAAGCGACACATCAAGAAAAAGAGGAGCGCCAATGTCAAATGTCAATACCTATCAATATTCAGTTGACGACAGTAATACCATCTCTGAAATTACCACTTTGTGGTACGGTAGGAATTAGATAAAACAATTAAACTTAAAATATATAATAATGGTGTAAAAATGGATTTTTTAAAATCCCTAGTTCAATATAAAGTATTACAAACGACTGTTAGAAGAAAATCAATAAGATCAATACTTCATTGTAATATGCGAAAAAAAATTACCAAAACTCTTGTGATACTGACATGGAGAATATCCACCAGAATATCTACTAGCAAAAGGAAAATTATAAATAAAGTGGAATATTATATTCTTGGAAAAAAAGAATTCAACATTATGCAAATTGGATAGGTTAACAGATTTGTTGGTATTTGATGATCTTGATTATCAAATAAACAAATGTTCATCCATCTTCACTAAGAAGAAACTTAAAATCCAAATGATAATAAATCCAAACAAATCATTTATTGAGGTTCAGAAACTACTTTCTTGTTTCTTTCTTACTTCTGTCATCTGTCATAAATTAAAGGCGTTTTTTCATGAGTCATCCGTAGTTGAACAACTGTTGTTGATGAACAATATTTTGATTCAGCTTGAATCAGATTTACTCACGAGTTTCGATTTTAACATGGCGTTAAAATCATTTATTATTGACATTTAATCATGATGTAAGGACACAAAACATCAATAAAAAAAAATTTCATTCATTTCCACTAAAAAGAAGCTTAAACCCCAAAGGAATCATGAACAAAAAGATCATTTATTGTCAGGTATACGAAAAAGCATACTATATTTATAGCATCTTTAAACGTATATTTATGTCATCTATTATAAAGGGGCATTTTCGCGAATTTCACGTATAATTGAACGATTAATGGTGAGTAACAAATTCCAAATTAAATGTGAATCAGATTATTAACCTCTCTCGATTTGAAATGGCGTCAAAATTATTTATAGGTCTTCGTTTACTGCTTTTAAGGATAAAACAAGCTTATATACTGAGTAAAAAATTTGTTATCCATAGTTGGTCAAATATTTTTACCAACTAGATCAACTAGCGTTCAGAGTAGTTCAACTACAGTAGCTATGCCAAAAACGTGTTGGATAGAGACAAAATCCGCAATAAACCAAGCAATAAAACCATACTGAACGTTTGATGCTGTAAAAACAAAAGCCCAATTTTCTATTACGTTCAGATCTCAGTCACTGGAGCTAGACTTCGATGAAGATCTTCTAAACCTGCTTCTCGAATACCGTTTCGGTGATTTGGGTGCTGACTGCTCGGATCGGGACTTTGAAACACTTCTTCCTTTCTTCTGTTTCTTCATACTCTTAGCTATGACTCTTTTTTGGTGGTCGAGTTGAGGAAACAGATCTAGAAAAAAAAGACAACTGTGTATCTATACCATAATTTGTAAATATACAACAACGAATAAAAAATGGGACACAAAAGCGTAAAAAAAAACAAACCGTGTGATATTTCTAGAGCTTCCTTGGCAGCATTCATTTCTGCTTGTTGTATACTGTGACCCACTGCGCTGGCAAGTCTTCTTCCCCTAAAATACACTGCCACTGTGTAAACTCTAGTGTTCGTAGGACCTTTGCATTCAATAACTCTGAAATTATATCAAGTGGTATTAAAATATGTCATTCTTAAGAACAGCTTCCATATGGGAAGCTGACACAAATAAATATGTAAATAAATAGTTTGTTGACAATTGGGATAGTTTTAACAAAATGTTTGACAAAACATAAATATGTAGAAAGAGAGATTTGTTGCCAGAAGGAGCTAAAGTAGAGTCATATACATTAAAAAGACAAAAACCGACAAATAATTCTCTGACACCGTTCTTAAATGGATATTGTAAATGTAGAATGGGCAGTTTGTCGTCAGAAAGATCCAAAAATAGAGTCATGTACATTTAAAGAACAACAAATGACAAATAATTGTCTAGATGAAAGTTCAACGAACGTTGAAGAAGTAAAAGAGTATCGTCAGAGAAAGATAAAAAAAGAGTTTTGTACATTTCGTGTTTGATGGAGACGTAGAAGAGACAACCAAAAATAGAGACTCGGACATTAGAAAGACAAGAATTTTAATCGAGAAGTTAATAAATATTGTGCAAGTTTTCTCACAAGCATATTAGGATTAAAAACAATTGCCAAGCTATTGTATTAATTCTTCTAATGTATCTTTTGCAACACTCATTGAGTTTTCAATTGTGTAATACTCAAATGAATATGTTCAGACAAACATTATCGATAAATATAAATACAAACAAATAGACTCACTTATACACTGGAATATCAGGTTCCCCTCCATCCATAGTTCGCAAAGTAAGACAACATTGTTGCAGCTTCGATTTAGGATCGTTCCAATCCTGGTTCATAATGAAATCTTGAAGCCGCGGGAAAAGGGTCACTTGACAGAAAACTTCACAGAATTCCATGCCCTAACGGAAGATAAAAGTGTTGTTTTATGCAATAGTACACGAAAAGTAGGCCAGATTTATAATTTAACGCAAAAATTAATGGTCAATGTTTTTTTTTCAGTTCGTTTTATAAATTTTTGTTTTTGGATTACATGATAAACGGTCTGAGATAGCAGCTTATTTTCTTTGACAATATTTAAATAAAATTCATTTAAATATTGTCAAATCATTCTTGCACACCAGGTGACCAGGTTCAATAATTCGCCATCGGTTATTTTGTTCTGTTCGTCTGCACTCGACCACTTGTTAACATCGTCTTCCTTCATTTTTTCACATCCCGGCAGGTTCTTTACCAGTTCATTAAACTCTTCTTCGTTGGAAGTTTTTTTGGTGCCTTCTTCTGGTTTCTCTCCTGTCTCTTCATCAGTTGCTTTCTGGTCTGACAGCTTCCTGCATGACCTCATCATTGTTATTGGTTTTATGTCGTCCCATGCTTGGGCCACTCACATCACCACATTCAACATGTCCACTTTTTTAGAGTATCTGTAACGTTTTCTGCTTAATCCATTCCAGTAATCAACGCTGTCAACTTTCGACGATAGACACGGTTTATAAACAGTAATAAATAAAAGATACTAAATTATTCGAAATTACATACACAAAATGAAAAACTGTAACCCATTTTACTTATTGTACCTATGCAGTTTTCCAGTACTTATTTTTCGTAATTCAATATTACTTATATATAACAGTAAAAAGTTTTTTCATCATTTTCAAAGAAAACCTTTCGTTTTTACATCCGCAAAGTATGTTCGTTTGTGCGTTGTCGTCTATGCGTCTATACTTAGGAACGATCTATTGATGGATTTATATATAGTTCTTCGAAATAACCGGCATCAAAGTCAAATATAGTGACGTCACAATCCTTCTAAATATACATTCGTTTCTGCTGACAAAAATAAATGTTAAATCGAAATCGAAACGTCGACTAAATAAATTTTATGTATTAATGTTAATGTAATGTTAAATGTATAAGTCTATCTACCCAATAATATATGTATGAGTATTTTCCTTAACTGTTATACAAGAAGAGGTCTCTTTTTATGTCATATTGATAATGTTATTACTTATTTCCAAATATTGGTCTTAAAGCGTAAAATGTATAAAAACAACTTTCTATTTTCTGCCTTTTAACTAATGATGTGTGAATGACAGTTTTCAAAACCTAATATTTAAGTATACTTCTTTGGAAGATTAATCATTGATTACTATTATTTTAACAGTAATCCTAAAAATTATAAATTAATTCATTTCAAATTTAGATGTTATAGACTGCCAGAATCTTAATAAAACCCGGTACGTTATATAAACGTCAGGTTTTACGTGTTCTATGTATGTTTGTGAACATGTATTTGTTGACACGTTACTTTAGTATAGTCCTGTTATTGTAGCTATAAACAGTCCTACAGGGACAGAAATGCGCTGAACGCGGAGAGAAGATTTGCCGGTTGTATGTGGAAAAGTCGATGGGATGTAGGAGTTGTTTCCGGTACGTATCTTAAATAAGAGAGTGCCTAGCAACGGCAACAACGAAAAGCAAAAAATAGTGATAAGTCCTTATAAAGAAACTGTTATTTTGTGTCGTTAGAGCAGGTGTTTCAAGTTCTAGGTTCGTAGCATATTGCAGCCATAAACAGTCCTGTAAGATCAGGAATTCGGTAAACTAGAAGTAGAGATTCGCCGGTAGTGTGTGGGAAAAACAATCGGTAGCTATACAAATATTTTTTATAAAAAGTGTTTTATATCAATAAACTTTAAATTATTTTTTTCTTTTTGTATATGTTAGTATGTTTAATTTTGTGATGATTATAAGACCGATTCTTCCTTTATTATTTACGTTTATCTAAAATTATTAGACCTGCATTTAATCATATCGTTATTTATTATTCTAATCACATCTAAAACCATTAGAGAAACTGTTTACCACCTCTGAATGGGATGTGATTCTTAACAAAAGCGGTGGTGAATAATTAGAGGTCTACAGAGGTCATTTTGTCTTCTGTTTATTTAAATAAATTGGACATACAGCACCTAATTTATCCAAATATAGTGAAATAAATAAATACTGGTACAATATACATAAAGAAGATAACCTATTACCTGATCCACGTATAAAGCTCCTATAAACGCCTCAAGAAGATCTGCTCGGTCTTTCGTTTTTAGTTCCGCCTTCGGGTTGTTGTAAATGGCGTATTTGGCCATATCCAAATCATCGCAAACCACAGCTTGAGTTCTATTGTTGACCAAAGAGCTTCTCAGCAACTAAAAATGAAATCGGTGTGTTTAACAATTTCCGTTACACTTTTTTTAATAGCAAACTATGTCATACTATTTTCCACAAGGCACAACCTATATTGGAAGATTTTCACGACAATAGTCCTCAAGCGAAATGGAACTATGGTGACCACGGAAAACTACAGAAACATGTTTTCATTGTGATCGTCACCAAAAGTCAAACTTTACAATACATGCTGTTGACACATGCGAGGTATATACATTGATATTGCCATATCTCAAAAATTTACAGCAATTTCAATAAAGTATATATTGTTGTATTTACTCACCGATAAGTGACCCTCATGATGCTCAGGGAAGTACTTGTACAAATAATCAGAAGCTATCAACTGGAGCACTGTGTCCCCCAAAAATTCCAACCTCTGGTTCGATCCCATCGTTAGATTAGTATATCCTACGCTCCTGTCGGTAAAAGCTCTAGCTAAAAGACGAATATGTTTAAATTCCACGTTGATCGACTCCTCAAACTTTACTAAGTTCTGAAGGATATCGAACTTTTCTATCCACTTTCTGTCCCCCAGAGGTTCTTGCTCTTGCAAAGGATGCGGCGGAAGATTATCCCATACCTCGAAGAGTTCTGGTTTATCGTGGAAATATGTTGCCGAGAAAACCATATCTGCAATCTATATAAAGTGTTTTAAAATAATTACAATAAGTAGAGCGGATAATGTTCTTACTTCAATTTTTCCGTCCAAAAACAATGCTCCCATGAGAGCTTCAAAGCAATTAGCCATGGCGTGTCGCAGTTCCAAGTCATGGCAGAGATCGGATCCGTGGGCGTACAGCATATATTGATCCAGGTTGAGTATTTTCGCTAGCACTGACAGGTGTTGGTTCTGAACTATAGCAGCCCGATAAGTCGCCAGTCCTCCTTCTTCGAGGTCCGGAAATGAGTAGAACAGATGTATAGACGACAGGAATTCAACTACGGCGTCGCCGAGGAATTCGAGACGTTCATTGTGGGTAATGTTCGATTCGGTTTCTTGTTGTTTACCGAAACGAGACATGATATTGATAAGAGTATTAATTCCTGTAAAATAATATTAATATTACCATAAACAGTAGTATTTTTTTGATGATATTCAGGTTAGTAGGTTACAAATAACCGCTACAATATTCGCTCCGTGCGTGACCATGGTAGGGGTACATTGAAACGATGCCAGCGTGCGTAGCGGCGAAATATGACAAAATTGGAATATTGGATAAAATATTTTTACGCATAAATTTTATCAAAAATGTATGCAAATACATGTTGCGTATTTAATTGTGCTAATAATAGCAAAAACAGTGAGTGTAGTTTTTATAGGTTCCCAAAGATTACATATAAATTAGAGAAAAGAAAAAGATGAATTCGTGCTATTAATATGAAAAAGTAAATATCACATAATTTCATTTTTATGCAATTGAAATAGGAAAAATTTAAATAATTTACCTTGAATGATATTTGATAAGGCTTCAAGCTAACTGCAGATGACTTTAGCTTTTATATCATAACTTTTACCATTATTGTTTTTAATTATATGCTCTTTTGCGTGAAAAACTTGATTTGCCAGTACTAAATTTTTCCCTTTCTTTTCCATTTGGAGTTGAAAAGATATATTATGATGAACTTTGAGAAACTAAGTTTTTAATACTACATTTATTTTGAACATAAACTGAAAAAATATAGTTAAAAAACTAATTTATTAATAATTGTCAATTTCGCATGTATTTAATAATGTCAAACATATGTCATATATTTAACCTGAAAATTGGGACTCCAAAATTGTCAGATGAAGGCGGTAGGTGTCGCGTCAGTCACGCAGGGAGCGAGTAGCAATAATAGATTGTGGAATTGTATAGAATCTAATACATGAAAGATACGGTTCTGGAAATCAAACAAACCTATTTTGATAATCCGAAATAATTATTAAATACGACCAATAAAGTTGAGTAAATCAAATAAGTGGATTCTAGTATCTCTGAGAATATTAAATAAAAACGATTCTGCAGTGGAAATCAAATACAAGTCGGTTTTTGTACAATTTCATGCATGGAAAAAGATAGAGTGGACGTACTTTATCATAGCACTCATAGTTTATGACCATAGCATTTTTCATATAATAATGCTTGCACGTCACAATTTATATAAAGTGACATCACTTATATTTTAAAATTTCCAGAACGTTAACCTTAGAGTTCAAATTTTCCTAACAAAGCTAATAATACGAAACCCATATGGAAATGCTCGATCTTTCATAGGCGTCAACATGGTATAATAATCAGAAAAATGTATAATAAATGTATAATAATAGAATACATATTATATAGAACTAGCTGACCCGGCAAACCCTGTTTTGCCTTATAAATTATTTCTAGTTTCTAGATAAATTCTAGTGTAGACAAAAAGTTCCTTACTTATTATTAGTGTGTAAGTATGTGGTATATGCGTGAAATGGGCGAGGAGCGCTATAAACGATAAGGAATATAAAAATAACAAACGCCAAACAATATTATTTTCAAGTTATTATAGTTTATTACTTAAAATTACATATCACATATTAATTACGATAGTAACCCTAACAAACAAAATCAATCTCTTAATGCTATAGCGTGAACAATATTTTTTGTTAGCCCATCTTTAGCGAGCACAAACAACTGGATGGTTTACTCACTCGAGAGCATGCTACGTACAATTGCCTGTGTGAAAAACATGGTATACTCAAATATAAGCCACAAATAGCCATCGTTTGGCCTTGGGATTTATTGATAGTCATTGCAAATGCCAATCTAGTCGGAAACTGAAAATCTGTAGGTATTATAGAAGTCCGTGGTATTAATATATTTTCAGCTTTGAACTTGCCATTTAAAATGCTGGCTTCGATACCGTTTTTCATTAATTTTCGAATGACTAATCGCGTACCGTTGCACAGCCGTGGCGGGTTTAAATTACGAAGCAAGATAATTGGAGATCCAGCTTTCAATTGTAAATTATGCGGTGGCATGCCTGGCAAATCCAGTGAGTTCACAAATTCTGTGGGAAAATTGACAGCTTCGCTGGCATTGCAAACTGTATCAATAGATTTTTATGATACCAAGTTCCCTGGCAACAACTGTTGTATCTTCAAATTTAAATTGTTGACGTCTGCATTTTTTGCTGCTAAAATAGCTCTTTCTGCAAGCCACTCATGATTTATGTACTGTGTGTGTACATCAGGAAATATTTGTTCAATGAGAGTATCTTGCGAATCAGCGATTTTACGTATCCAGTTTCATCTGTAGCAACTTTTCCATCACCGATATCTAAGAGTTGTTTTGAGAATATTTCAGCGGGTGGATCTTGAAGCATTTGAACGCGCATATTTACTTTCAGCTGTACTTTATCAACATTACACCACAATGGAGATGATTTTAAGCAAGCGTTGATCTCATCACCGTATGTTGAACGTGGAATGACGGGAAGTGTTTGTCTGAAATCACCTGAAAGCACCAACAGAGTGCCGCCAAATAGTTCGTCGTTGTTTTTAATATCTTGCAATGTCCTGTTTAATGCCTCAATTGAATGTTTTTGTGCCATAGTACATTCATCCCAGATAATAATTTTACACTGTTTTAGCACGGTAGCCATGGACGATTGCTTTTTAATATTACACACTGCGTCAGGGTTATTTTGAATATTTAGTGGCAGCTTAACTACTGAATGAGCTGTTCTGCCTCCATCCAATAAAGTTGCTGCAATGCCCGATGATACAACGGCCAATGCGATGCCATTATTTGATCGTATTTCAGCAAGAATTAGTGAAATAAGGAATGTTTTGCCAGTTCCACCCGATGCATCCAAACAGAAGAACCCACCTTGTCCTGCTGAAACTGCGAGCAAAATGCTGACATAAATGGTTCTTTGTTCGTTATTCATTAGTGGGATATTGAGAGTAACAATCGCTGCCATTTCTACAGTGTTGTAGTGCAGTTCACGATTCATTTCAGTGTTAATTAAATCAGGTGCAGTTCGATTTGGCGAATTCATACCGAAATGAGTGAGTGATAAGTTGGTAATGACAATGCAAAGATCCTCAATTGCAATCAATGCTTCATTGTACATAGCGTCACTGAATGTTATCGTTAGATCGTTGCACCGTGTACGATGTTGATGCAATATATCATCAGTAATTAAATCTTTGTGATTATCCCACAATATCTGTGCTCGAGCTGGGAAACATGTAGTCAACACTATAGCGAATAGTAGACGAATTTGTAATGCTGTACAGTTCAACGCAGCTTCAGCAAGCATACACTCCCACTAGTTGTCGTCTTCCAGGAAGCCGAGTGCAAGGCATGCGTCTTTATATGTTGGATACTGTTGCCCATTCACTTTACGTATATCTTGAAATGATAATGGGGCAGTAACATTAACCAACAACAGTCATTAAATAAATTGAGACATGCATCAACTGGTGAGCCTTGCTTGCGGGGCATCCATTTTTTTTTATTTGAGCCCATGTGAAATATTGTGGTACTTGTGAATAGAGTAATGTTCTTGCAAAGGCACCAAAACCATCCATACTATTACACAATTCAAAAAATGCTGTGAGTGTAGTTTTAGATGAATTTGTAGCACGATCAATCACTGTCTCGTTTGTGAAAAATACACGCTAACCGTTTTCAAGATGGACGGCTAAATGAACAACTAATGGATCCCGTTCATGAATTGGAAAACCGAAGATACGCCTAGCAGCTTCATTGGAGCTGATGTACGGTCAAATTTGGTAGAGCGTAATTTCATCGTTTTTATTAATTCTAGGAGCATTTACATTAGTATTTTCTACTCTAAACACAGCCATATCACTGCCTTTATGGACATACTTGCAAATATATTGGATGCTCTTCACAGAACAGCAAAACTCAACATTAATATGAGCATTATATGTCTTGCTTAGAAGAGGTGAATACGGCACCAACCAACGATTGTCAATGTAAATGTCTGTGTTACTGATATTTTTAATAAATGAGTATCCGCCATTATCGGGACTTCTTCGACGATATATTGGATATCCGTCGGTATTTGTTATCGTATCATTAGTGAAATCTTTAGGGAAATTTTTAGTACATTTTCCATCTGCCAAGGCGATGAACGATGAAGAGTACCACATGAACCGTGGATCATGTTTGCTGTAACAATATCAAACAGCACTTGATCAGTAGACGGATCTGGAATTTTCGCAGAAATGATACTATCGATTTCTTCAGGATGGATTTTGTCGATTAACCAAACCAAAATGTGCGCATGAGGTAATCCCCTCTTTTGCCATTTAACTGAATACAGCCAGCAACGTGTGGGACCGAATACATGTAATTTAGCAATGTTAGAGACTTCAACTTTTGTCTGAATACACGTGCTGTAATGTCACGACGATGTATTGCATTTTGGTCAGGCAATAGCAAAGATGTAATCTCTGGCCATTTTGGATTACATGTGATCGTGATAAATACACGCGGTCGTCCATATTCGCGCACGTAAGCCATAGCATCCTGTATATATTCTTCCATATGACGTGGACTGCCTATATACGATGATGGTATTATTATGAATAAAATAGTAATAATTAATAGTTATTATGAGAGTTACACAGAAATAGAAAATTGATAATTGTGAACGTTACTACTACACTTGATGCATAAACAATAATCATGTATGGCCGAAAATTGTGTAGGGAGCGAGAGAAGTCTTATGTGAGTAAAACAGGAGACCGGCTTCAGTTTATGGTATACTGTGGCATTTCACTCACCAGTAAAGTTGCGGCAAATATATTAGGATTAAACTTTAATAATAAATATAATGTTTATTTTCTTAAAAAACATTTTAGATTTTTAATCGAAGTACAGTTAAAAACACTATAATTAATCAGCTATCGAACGAGATGAAAAATGATTAAATTACTAAAATAGCCATAAAAAATAGGAGTTGATGATATTTTTTATGTTTTATGTATTTTTTAATGCAACATTATAAAAAAAAAAACAAAAATAAAAAATTTCGTCGAAAAATTAAAAAAAAATTAAGGGTGAATAACCCTTATCACTTAGGGTTATGAAAAATAGATAGTAGCCGATTCTCAGACCTATTGAATGCGCATATAAAATTTGGTAAAGATCGGTAAAGCCGTTTCGGAGGAGTACGGTAACTAAAATTGTGACAGGGAAATTTTATATATTAGATGTATTTTTTAATGCAACATTATAAAGAAACAAAAAAAATCGTCAAAAAATTTTAAAAAAAGTTAAGGGTGAACAACCCTTATCACTTAAAGGTATGAAAAATAGATAGTAGCCGATTCTCAGACCTATTGAATGCGCATATAAAATTTGGTTAAGATCGGTAAAGCCGTTTCGGAGGAGTACGGTAACTAAAATTGTGACAGGGAAATTTTATATATTAGATGTATTTTTTAATGCAACATTATAAAGAAACAAAAAAAATCGTCAAAAAATTTTAAAAAAAGTTAAGGGTGAACAACCCTTATCACTTAAAGGTATGAAAAATAGATAGTAGCCGATTCTCAGACCTATTGAATGCGCATATTAAATTTGGTAAAGATCGGTAAAGCCGCTTCGGAAGAGTACGGTAACTAACATTGGGACAGGGAAATTTTATATATTAGATAATATAAATTTTATGAAATAACTCTTTAAGTCTAATAGTCCACAAAATAATAATTTTAATTAAATAGATTAGACAATTGTACGCAACTGATATGGGAATACTTCATAGTCTATTGACAGTTCAGCGTGTGGCAAAAATTGTATGAAGTGTTGCCGCTTTTTTAGAGTAAGAATTTTGTTTATGTTTTGATTTATTACACAATTTGATCATAATATAACTTAATTAATAAATTGTATTTATATTATTAGCTTTAAAAATTTATATTATTAGCTTTAAAAACTAATTATTGTTAAGTATTGCGATTGTGCGATGCCAAAACAAATAAATAGTCTGTAGAAAGCTGATAAACTTTTTACTATTAAAGCCCTAAAAGAGGTAAGTGTTTTAGAATAAATAATTTTGTATTAAAATGTTTTCTTACGTATTTTAGAGTGTTGTAGTAGTCTTAAAACTAAGTGTATTTATTGTTAATATAATAGTTGGACAAATAGTTGTTGTCTGAGTGTTGCAGTAGTCTTAAAACTAAGTGTATTTATTGTTAATATAATAGTTGGACAAATAGTTGACATTTTAAAAATTCCTCACTTAGTAACTATTCTGATGTTTTGGTATCGTTGTGGAGTTCTATGTTCTGTGAATGACGTGCAAGCATTTTTATATGAAAAATGCTATATTAGAAGTGTGCTAAGTAACCTATTAGATTCTGAGGATTTTCCAGAACTTTAGATATGAACAATATAATCGTGTATTCTAATAGTCTAAAATAGTTAGATACAGTAGTATTAGTTACAGATCATTACATAGAATCGATACAATAATAGTAAAATGAGTTTGCTATCTCTTCACACGATAGTGAAAATCAATTAGATTACAATACTACTAAAAAATTTCGCCGAACCAGCGAATTCCAACATGTATTTGACAATAAAATGTTCATATACAATTTAATAAACAATATATAATCAGTAAGTATTTTATCAATTAGAACAGAATATAATTTATAATATCTTACTCTTTACCGGTGAAGGTGGTGAGTCATCTAAAATACAAAAATCAACACATTCAAGTAACACATTTTATGAAAAACGAGTGAATAGCTTGAAATTGTATCATCCTGAATATTTTATAGTGATTAGTACCAACTACATTATATTAAAAGACCTTACCTCTCTTCCTGGTGTTCATATAGTGTATTCGTCGATCTCCATATTCAGGTTGTCGAATCCCACAATTCGTCAAACTGTTCCGGGCGTGATCTGGATTGGTACCAAAATTTTCTTTGTACGACGGGTGGGTTAGAGCTAGCTGGAGAAGAGCACGGTTTTTGAACTTGTATTTAATCTTGTCTTCCAGGACGTTCAGAGAGTGGTGAAACCGCAGATGGCATACTAACACCGGAATCAACATCGCATGCTGAAACATTTTTTTTCTTGCCTGACTTTTTTAGAATAGAAATATTCTTACCTGAATAATATCGCACATAATTCCGGTCCTGTAAAATCCTTCAGCCGATACAGCCACAGTTACGTCCCTCTTCATCTTGCCTTGCGTACGCATTTCTTGCAGTTTGTTCTCTTTGGCTTCCAGCTTCCGTTTATCCTCGTAGGTGGGCTTCGACATGTTGGCCAGTAGATGACGGAATTTTACATAGTCTCTCCAAGCTTTTTGATAACTGAAATTAAGTTTATAGGAGTATCGTAAGGTACATGGAATCCCAAGAATATCTTAACTAAGCATTGGTACCAACAGTCCTAGAAGACCTATTCACTTCTTCTTCTTCTAGTTCCATGATCGTTATCGATCGTTGGATATCATGTTGGCTACAATATTCGCTATTGTGACTTTATTGACATCAGCTCTAAATAATGACCTATACACTATCAACAGCATTTAAATACGTTTTCCGATCCGACACGCTCGGTAATCCGATGCACCTCCCGTCAAGGTCGCCACCGTGTCTGCTTGTACTGGAACCTGTCGCGACATGAATCTCATTCTTACCGGATGCTTCATTTCGTGTGTTTTTCGTGAGCAGTACGGTTCGATAGGGTTTTTAGATACAGTAATACGTAGTGAAAAACTTTTATTAAATTCGTTTAGATAGTTACGATATTATTAAGTGATGCGAGTGTGGTAAAACTCCGATTGCGATATCTAGATTTTATGATATTGAACGAGCTACAATGTACGACATTATGAAAAACATGTATGAAATCTCTAGAGAATGATTTTAAAGACAGAAAAACTCTTAAAATGAATGAAATTCCCGATGTTGAAGAAGCTGTGCACCTGCATCTGGTTTAAGCAACAACGAAGCAGACAGATTTCTATTTCAGGTGACATTTTAAAAAATTAAGCTCAGTTTTTATCAGGAATTAACCAAGAAAACTGATTTTCGTTTTAGTCGAGGTAGGTTCGAAAAACGGTACGGAATACGATTTTTGCAGATAAGTGTAGAAAATTTGAGTACAAATGAGTCAGAGATATCCGAATTTATTAAATTTATATAAATTGGCGGCAACTTCCTATAAAGTCATTTGTCACTTCAGACGAAAAAAAGTTTTTGGTATAAAACTTCAGAAAGAACGTCTCACTCTCATGGTATGCGCGAATGCATTGGGATCCTATAAATTAAAATTGCTAATCGTGGGAAGTTCAAAAAACCTCGTGCCTTCAAAAATGTTAAAATTAAGAAGCTACCAATCAAGTACATGTGGCAAAGCCGTGCTGGGTGGCAAAAGAAGTTTTTCTGGATTAATACAAGAACAGCTTTGGCCCATAAGTTAAAGATGAACTAAAAAAAAAATAAACTACCAGTGAAATCCCACCTCTTGTTAGACAATGCTCCAGACAGATAAGGACGAATTAAAAATCGTTAAAAATCAATTAATCGAAACGTTATTAAAATTCTCCTGGCGGACTACAAGAAACAACTCCTTGTAGATATTGTAAGTCGAGCTAATGCTAGCAGCACTTCAATTTTGAAAAACTTTAACATCAGCAGTAGGTAGCAAGTCAAGCTTACTACACTGATTAAATCGTGTAAATCCCAACAACCCACTGCAATAGAAGTTAACAAAGAATCTAATAACCAGCCTGTGCAAATTGTACTGGATGCTGCCCTTCAAATTTGCAACGATATGACTAATTCATCAGAATCAAGAGAAGCTTTAAAAGAGTGGATTTTAGATGACAATCTCAAAGCTGTCTTACCAGATGAAGAAATAACTAAAGACATAACAAAATATGATAATCACGTGACTCAGGAAGCAAAGGATGAAACATCTTTCACCGTCAACTGTAATGATGCTATAATGGCTGCGAACACTTTGATGCGTTGGTGCGAGGAGAGAGCATATGACTTAAAAAAAAATTGATGTTAAAGGAGATACGAGAACAAGCAATGACAGACTGTCTAAACAAGAAAAAGCAAAAGACAAACATCAGAAGATTTCTTCAAAGTGTAAGCACAGTATGTATTTACATACGTCCATAATTAATCTACCTTATTTGCGGCATTTACGAGCCCTAACAACTATATGTTGGAATAAGCAATTATTTTGTAAATAAAATGAACATTTACCGAAATTCTTGTATTTTAATTATTTTTTAAGTTGATATATGGCTGAATGCTCGAATAAATGAACTTTGATAATGTTAAAGGCAGATAGCGAGCACAATTTTATTAATTAAATCTTGTCCAAATACTTCCGCTTTTCTAAAGCATCATCAGATGATCAAGAATTTAAGGGACTGGTTTAAATGCAATTCTATAGAACTCTGCAGAGCAGCAGTAGATAGAGTAAAGATAGTAATTATGATATCCAACCTCCGATTGGGAGAATGCACTTAAAGAATAAGACTTGGTAGTTAGGAATATTCAAGGATATCTTGATATTTGGCTGCGTTTACTATGGCCTGAATAAAATGTAAAGTTCCTAACCCATTGACCGACATACAACCCCACACCATGATGACCTGTGGAAAGTTTATAATTATTTTGAGAAAATCCTTATGGAATGCTTCTTGTATCACACTTTTTACCGAATCACAAGCTTTTGATAATCTCCCACACAGATATCAAATTTGCTTTCGTCGCTATAGATAACTTTGTCCCACTTATGTTTGGTCCAAGAAAGTTCTGATTTAGCCCAAATATAACGATTTATTTTTTAAAGTTCCGTCAGCAATGGTTTTTCTTTGGCCTACTCGAATAAATCAAAATATAAAAAATGTATATCGCAAATAACCTATCAAAGAAAAAGACCTATCAAACATACCTTATAAAAACTAAGGCCGCTTTTGTGGATATATTTGAGACAGGATTCTTTGGAAACATTCATCCCATTTCTCTATTCCTTCTAGCAGTTACTTCTCGTAATGTATTTCTTCTTCCTAACTTACGTATTCTAATTAAATGCTTTACACTTCTTTGAGATATAGCTTTCGCACGGCCTGAGCTTTTGGCGTAAACATCAATATTTGGCAGTTTCGCCATATTTCTTAATTATATGTAGTTTCTGCTACACTTAATTCATTGCAAATTTCACGATTCAACTATTGGTTGTGTTTACATACTCAAATGACGCGTGACAATTATTGTTCATAACGTAATACCTATTCCTATGTTTGATTTCAAAGCCTTCTTTGCTTCAAGCTGTTAAAATTAAAGAAACGTGAATGCAAAAAATGTTCCAATATTTAGTTGTCAGTAGTTTTGGATTATCAAACATTTAATTAAATAGAAATCAATATAAAATATATAATTAAGCCATAAAAATAATTCCATTATAAATCATAAAAAATGTTGTTAATTTTATATTTACAATTAAAAAAAATAATTTCGGTAAATTGACATTGTATTTGCAAAATAACTGATTGTTCCAACATGTAGTTGTTATTATTTACAAACTGTATGTACATTAAATTTATTAGCTTTCATATTTCTTTTAATAAACATGTTTTACTTAGCCGAAAACAAGTCAATGACTTGTTCCAGTCACTAACAAAATAATGCTGAGGATTTCTGATCTATTGCCATCGAACTTTGTATTCTCTTGTAAGTAATGACTAATTTGTTGGTCTTCTTTGATCTTGTTCTGATTTTTCAAGAAGATTAGGAACACGAACAAGTTATTGACGGACACAAAACGTACTTGGTACGTTTCTGCCAAAAAATATTCTCTAGAAACAACCAACCTTTTGATATATATTATACACTTTGGCATCGTTCCTAAATTTTCGATCTTATTTTAACAAACGATCTAAGCATACAACTTAGTCCTGAGTGATTTACATCTGTAAAAAAGGACAGCACGAAAGAATGATTGTATTCGTAAGATCAGCTAGAACTATATAGACTTATAGACTAAATTTTGCAGCTATCCGGCTCGAAAGGTCCATATAAGAATGAATAAATTTAGAAAATCATTGTAAAATAGTTGGACTAAATATAATCGGTTGGAAGCAACCTTGTAGCAATGCGACACGAAGTATCCAGTAGATAGAACACTTTTCTACAACTGTACAACTGTCTGTTCCTAGAGATAACAATTAATATTTGTGTCTAATCACAGTAGGCTCTTGTTACTATCAATATTAGAGTGAAATCAATATTAGGGTAGAAGTTTTTGGAACATATGTAAAATAATTCAGCAATGAACGCCTCTTGCTTCTATAAATCTCTCTGACAATTCATTGTGGTACTTTCTAAAGGCAAAAAACAAGTGCTTAAAATATTCAAAGTGTTTCTAAGTTGAAAATGTATTTTATTTAAATTTAACACAAAATTTAAATTATTTACGACATATATTTGTGTAAATAAAGTACTTACTCCGGGTTTCCGGCATAACTGAGCTGTGGAGGTCTAATTCCGAAGTGAACAATCTCTGGAAATGTATAATTCCCTTCGATCTGTTCGTCTACGTTTCGGTCCAATTGGTCCACTCTAACAGAGCAAGGTTTCTTTCCGGGATAAGTCACTACCATACCCTATTATCAAACAAGACAAAGAAAAACTGTTTTAAAAGGAATGCACTCCATATCATAAGATCGCAACTAGCTGGGGCATTATTAAAGCAACTGCATGAAGCAGAGACATCAACATCATGAACACAAATATTTTTCACTTATATTACTCAAACAATTATTCGGTAAATCTTAATCATATACTAACCTTAATTTCATCAGCATAACTCTGCCACTCATTCTGAGTCATCTCCATCATTTTACCCAAATCTTCAGCTTTCATCAGAGGAATTGAGCTGTTCAACAGATACTTCAGTACTTGGCTCATGCACAAAATTTCTTTTCCTTTTTCTGGAAGTTCACGAACGAATCTCGGTAGGAAATGGAACTGGGAGCACCCGTCTTTGTCGCCAGCGGCTTTAAAGTCTAAGTCGACCAGTTCCAGGATTTCGTGGAAGAGAAATTCAGCTAAACCAAAAATGTATTTAAAAAATGCACATTGCTAATACATTTCAGTTTAAAAAAGACAAATATCGACTCAATTTACTAAAAATATTCCATATACAAAAACTCACATCACAAAAATTCAAATAATGTTAAAAAATGTATATAGTAACTTACTGAACAATTCCAGCTCACGTACGGTAAAATTCTCGGGTATTTTTTCTTCTATATATAAAATAGTGTACTCAATATTAAAACGGATAACCTGAAAGTAAATATATGATGACATTCCTGACTCAGAAACCTTGAGACAATGTTCTATCTTTATAATATTCCTATTGCTGACCAATAACTTAAATATCAAGAATTGTGGATACACAATCTTACTATAGGGCCAAAATGGGTCATTTACCCATTTAAAGCTTCATAAGGAAATTTAAGGTGCAAAATCGCAAATTTTCCAAAAAACTCACTCACAGCTCCCATGAAAAGCCGAATTGCAACGTATGAGGTCTCGTTGGAAAAAAGTCGTCGCGTTTGATGTCAAACGTCGCATTTAACGTGAAATAATTCATTCTCCAAAAATGTGACTTTTCGTGTGAATAACGACATAAAATGTGATATTCGAGATGAAATGCAATGTCTTAAGCTGCGGTGGGTTTCTATCAAATTGAAAATGTGAGGTAACAATTTGACGTTTTCTTATGGGATTTAACATGCGATTCTGTTCAAAAAGTAACTTTGTATCGACAGAATGAGTTTAGATATAGATAAAAAAAGTTTCCTATAGTATGGCAGGCCAACAGCTTCTCACAACACATTTTTTTATTTATTTAAACGGGGAACAATGAATACAGCTAAATTTTTGTTTATTATTTTTCAAATACATTTTAAATTTTTTTTCTTGTATTTTTTTTAAATTTTATTGTGGTATAAACACCTTTTTTCTGATAATACATTTGTAGCTGAGTATCAGCTACTTTTTTCTTGTATTGCGAGAGGAGCTACTTACCTGGATATCCTTTCTTACTACTTTAGGACATCCATAAATGTATCGAATGGTATAGCTCAAATTTTCTTCCACATTCTTAGCTTGAAGTTTAGTTTTTATTTTCTTAAACTGATCTCTTCTCTCTCTCTCTCTCTCTCTCTCTCTCTCTCTCTCTCTCTCTCTCTCTCTCTCTCTCTCTCTCAGAACGCCTATGAATAGCTGTTCTGATGAGCCCTGTTAGGGCGAAATACGTATAAGCAGATATATAGACATAGTATTATTTAGTACAGATATCAAGGAACTGGAGCAAATGTTGAAGGAATTAAACCAGCAGTCAAATAAAATAGGTCTCAAAATGAACCTTCAGAAAACAAAAATAATGAGTAATTTACAAACTAATCTTGTTATTGACAACGTCAGTCTTGAAAATGTAGGCCACTATATATATATATATATATATATATATATATATATATATATATATATATATATATATATATATATATATATATCTTGGACATACCATTAAAATCGGCAAAGAAAATCAAATAGCCGAAATAAAAAGACGCATACAACTGTCTTGGGGAGCTTTCGGCAAATTTCGTATCTAAAACGTAGAGTTTATGACAAATGTATCTTGCCTGTAACTACATATGGACTGGAGACCATGGCCTTCACAAAGAAAACCTTAGAGCAGCTCAGTACAACCCAAAGAGCAATGGAGAGGGCCATGCTAGGGATTAGTTTGAGAGACAGGATTCGAAATAACGTCATTCGTGAAAGAACAAAAATTACTGATGTCTCAGAACGTATTGCAAGGCTCAAGTGGCAATGGGTCGGACAGTTTGCCCGAGATAATCCCGAAAAATGGACACAAAGATTAACAAACTGGAGACCAAGAGAGAACAGGCGAGGAGTAGGCAGACCGCAGAAGAGGTGGACAGACGATATCAACCAAGTCGCGGGCAAGCAGTGGATGAGAATTGCCAAAAGTAGAAATCGATGGAAGCAAATGGAAGAGGCCTATGTCCAGCAGTGGATGAACACAAGCTGAAGAAGAAGATATATAGACGTCTTGTGCGTGAAATCAAATCTTGACTGTCTTTTTCATTTTATTTGGATCTACTCTGTATGAGTACCAGAAACCAATTCGCTAAGGATTTCTGCTTAGTTGAGGAGACATGTCGTGGAATGCAAAGTTTAGATTCCCCATGTCTCTATTAACATATTTATCAACGTCTGTTTTGCTTTGCAATTTTTAGAGGCTCAGATTAAAGCAGAAATCTGAATTGGTTTCGAAACTATTTTACGGATTTATTCTCAGATGTCGCTATTTGCGTCCATACGAAACCATGTTAGAGTTGCTTCTTAAAGACAGAAAAGATTTATTTTCACGTTCAGAACGCCTATGAATAGCTGTTCTGATGAGCCCTATTAGGGCGAAATACGTATAAGCAGATACATAGACGCTTTGTAGGTGCAATCAAATCTTGACTGTCTTTTTCATGATCTCTTTGCATCATTGTGTAATCTAAACGAATCATATTTTTTCTCGAAAGTTTTTCTTCACCTTTAATATATTCTTAATGAAAGTCTGATCACCACAGAGAATTTTCAATGGTCTTCAGAAACCTGTCTTTTTACACCAATTCTAACGATTTTTTCATTTTACCTAGCCCTTCTTGGTATACATTCATTAGCATAAACACATCCGCTACCACTTTTTTGTCTTCACCAATCGTATCAGTCAAATTTGCTCCGTTAGACTCATTTTCACTATAAATTGTCAGGTTCTTTCCTGCATCTCATTTTGAACGACAACAGCACTTCATTCTGATGCATTCAACCCTGTGCATATGGCAGCTATCACAACTCGCTATTTTCAACCATTCCGATATAAATTATTTGCAAGTGTTGCACAAATTGTGTGATCTAACCTCACTTTCTCAAAATTCCAAAAATAGTTTATAATTTTTGTATATTATCTTAAACCAGTACTTAAGTTGACTCAGAACATAAAAACCATTGTTTATACACTTTTACGTTAAAGTTTATTGAGAAGCAATAATCAAATTGTAATAAAAAACTTACTTACCTTGCAATTTGGTAGTTTTTCTAGAGGATGATGCGAAAACATGGAAAATCCCTCAAAGATGAACTCGTGCTCATCGAAATGTATAATGGTGGGAGTCTTGATCAAAAAGTTCGTCGGAGGAGATATCGTGATGCGGTAATGATACAACCTGTTGGAGTTATTCGAGTCCATCTGGCACGGTGGCAAATGCTGCTCGCCTGGATAGATACCGTGACGTATGCCGGACTTCTTGGATTTTAAAGAACAGCGGCACAAGGGACCGTCGTTCATTTCGCCAGGCTCATTAAACCTAGAATTTATTAGGTACTTTCATGTGCACTTTCTCAACTAGTTTATGAAACATAATACATACTCAAAATAAATAAATTTTTAAATCTAACACTTCAATGCTGTTTGTATCCACATCCAAATTGAAAAAATAAATAGATATATACCCGTTTGACGAGCACTTCAATTGTTTGTTGTCAGTATGTGAACTTTCGTTTACTTGATTTCAGAAATTTTTGATGGTTTATATTTTTATTTATTTTACAATAAATTTGAGCAGGGGTCGCAAAACCCATATGCCCATGTGAATACAATGTTATATAGTGTGCAATTAAATGGTTACATTACAATAGTTACATATTAAGCACTAACTAACTAAATAAATATACAAAAACATTGATAATAGCAAGTGTTTAGTACAAATTAAATATTCAACTATGGAGCAAATGGTCATCCAGTTTATTTTTAAAAATATTGGGAGATGTAGCATCTGTGATCATAGCCAGAAGGCTATTCCATATCGAGAACACCCTATTACAGAGAAAAAATTGTCTAGTTGTTAAAAAAGTTTCCTTTTTAAACTTAAGTTTCTGGCCACGAAGACGATTGTCACTGTCTAGTATAAACATATCCCCCACATTTCCAAAGTTGTATTTTACTATTCGAAACGTAATACCTAATTAAATGGCCTCGAAGTCGACGTTGTTCAAATGTAATGAGATTGGCCATATTCAGTCTTTCTGTATACGTAGGTCTTGAGCGACCAAAAGACATCCTAGTGCTCTGCCGCTGTACGTTTTCGAGAATATTACGATCGCGCACTAATACCGGACACCAAACAGTTCCGCAATATTCCAGAACTGGACGAGTGTACAGTTTATACAGATGATAACCAGTTCATTTTGAAGAAAATCAGAAATTGTCTCGGCAATAATAGATTCCATTATCTTAGATATTATAGGTAAGCTGATAAGACAATAGTTATTAGGATCCAATTTGTTGCCTTTTTTAAAAATCGGTATTACAGGTGCGGTTTTCCATATAGGAGGAGGAAAATATGTGTGGTGAATGATAAGGATATAATCACATATAGTGGGTAAGCTAAAGCATCAGAATATTTCTTTAAATATAAAACAGATATTAGGACCAGGAAACGAATTATTTTTTAGGCTTTGAAGATGTTTAACTTTTTCATGAGTAATGATCATATTTTCAAGGGAAGAAGAAATTCGTGACGAAGTAATATTAATAAGCAACTGATGATTAGTGGATTCGACAGAGAAAACCTTAATCTCATAGTTATTTTGGGATATATTCCCATTATCATTTTCCAGTAAAGGTAGAGAAACTTTTGTTGTCAACGAAGATCTAATATACTTGTACAATTTTTTACAGTTATTACTAATGGCTATACTCTCTTCGTAGACAACACGAGCTCATGTAGAGATTTCTTTAAATCCTTGACAGAGTCTCGATGAATTAGTAAATCCTCTATGCGATTTGTATGTTTATATTTGTTCCACAACTTTCTTTTATACTTGATCAGATATATTAATTCCCCATTAAACCAAGGTTTTATGTTATTTTTGTATATGGTTTTTTTGAAGGTATTTTGGTTTTTGCAGAAATTAACAACGTGTAAGAACTTATCCCAGAATACAACTGGATTCCTTATGTCGCCGAAAACATCATTCCAATCAATATCAGCCAGTTGGCGATTTGCTTTTTAAAAATCAATTATTTCATATACCGTTTTATTAACATTAGGATTAGGAGTACAGTACTGTAAGTTAAACTGAATATGAAACGTCATGACTGCATGATCTGACTGAGTTACCTACTGGGGAGCTTATTAGGGGATGTGTTAATAAATGGGAATCATTAGAGAATACCAAGTCCAAAATAAATGGTAAATTATTGATTCTGAAACGAGTCGGCTCCGTTATGAATTGATGTAAATTAGAACTTAATAAAAAATCTGTAAATACATTTTTGGAAATTGTTAAGCCACTAGATGGATCATTTACAGGAGACGAAATGTCTCTAAAATTAAAGTCTCTAATAACAATCAGATCCTCTAGCCTAGACAGTTCATCAAGTGATGCCATAAGGGACTCATCATCTGCTAATCTAGAATCACCAGGCCGATAAATACATACTAGGTGAAAAACAAAAGAGTTTTTATGACATATTTTTAAGCCAAGAAGTTTCATATTAGGGACAGTAATATCAAGAGATGTAACAGAGAAATTTTTAGTAATTTCTGAAGACAAGTAGATACAAGTTCCTCCTCCACGTCGATTACGAAGATTCACACCTATAAAGGGATATTTATTACGATGATTAGATTTCAGAATTATTTGAGGATTTAGGTTTTGAATGTTGCATAAAAAAAATTTGGAATTTAAAGTAGGTAGATTAGTATAGAAACAGTGCCAATTATGAAAACCTGAAATATCAGAATTAGTGACGAAAGTTCACAATTTTCGGGACACTTTGTATATATTTTATGGTTAAATTTTCCTCTCCATTCGATTTTCTCTGATCCAGTTCCACTCATAGTTCTTTTAGGCATATTCTATTTGATTCGGAGTCTTATCGTCGATAATGAAAACGTCTTTTAAAGAGACGTTTTGTAAAAGTTTCTTTTTGTTTTTCAAAATATGTTTGGCTTCATGTTAATTTTGCATAATGACCTTTATCATCCTAGGGAAGCGATTGTTTGGTTTTCCAAACCTGAAAAATGTGACAGGAGTGGAGTTATACATTACAGTATCTAAAATATTTTTAATATTCCACTATCGTGACTTTCCTTTGTTTTAATGTCTCCTGTAATTTCTGGTACACACCTAACAAAAATATTCATAGCCCGGTTAATGCGATTAACTGCTTCATTTGCTATGATATCTGTAAATTTTGGAGATGAAGAATGATCCTCAATAGATAACTTGTTTTCGATCTGTAAGTCTTTCACTAATATCATTAGCTTTTTGATCTATTAGATCAATTTTTGATTGAAGATCCTCATTTAGATCTCTTAAGAGCGTCTTTAAATTAGCAAAACTTTCGATATTAGAGCAGCAGTTGTTGCAAAGAATTTTAATTCCACGTAGCTTATGCCTTGTAACGCGATCTTCGGCTCGTAGATCAGTGCAAGCTAGATGTATGTTGTGTTAACAGCTTTCACATTGAAGTTGTTTTGATGATTCTCGATCATCGATTGACTTTGAAGATATGAATTCGACACATTCATAAATTATTCATTTTTACTGCTACTACAATCAACAGACTTTTAGCCAGATACACAATAAAACGTTAATGTTTCACTTCTACATTCAACACACCTATAACCTTATTCACTTTGTGAATGAAATGAAAGCCAGCAATTAATTGGAGAAAAAAGTGTCATAAAATACCGATAATAGAACAATATTTTTCTTATCAGTAAGACTGTTTGGTTTAAAAAAATAAATTCTAAATGTAGACTAACAATTGAGATTAGATTATCACATAAAAGTTAACAAACAGACCTAAAAGTTTTAAATTTAGGTACTTACCACATTTCCGGGTGCAACCGGTCAGGGTGCTGCTGCTTCCTTTGTAGTTCTTCCATTGTACAGTCTTCTTCGTCGGTTATATCTTCTTCCGAACTATCAGAGCTACTTTGAGCTTCAGCTGTAACGAAGTCGACAAGCTAATGTAAAAACAACATGAAGACAGCAACTTATCCTAACCTAACCTAAACTGGGACGACCCAGGAAGTAGTTTTGAAAAAAGGTTTATTTTCCTATTAAAATTTTGTGTGAAGCGAGGATAAGTACTCCAAAGCATAGATTGTAGATAGATACACAATTGGTACTGGATAAAACCGAAAATATTAATATAAACAAAAGTGAAATGTTACGAATTGTTATCAGTGGTTACCGACTTTCTTTTATACAGCTATCCTGAGTACCAAGTGTACATCTTTGCTGAAAAGTAAAAAGAGTTATACTTACTTTTGTGTTTACATAATCTTGCTCTATTCTTTCTTGGAGGTGGCACATACTTCGGTTTCTTCGCGTTCACCGTTCTCGCTCTCATCACCAAGCCCTCCTCAAACTCATCACACAGCTGATTGAGCTTCTGCGTAGCTTTCACCACCGTCGGTATTTCCAGATCTCTCTGGTAATATAGTTCGGCCGGTGTTGAACGTGTCCATATGTTTTTTTCGTTTTCTAGAATATCTTCGACTGTCATGGAAGCCAGCTCCTCCAGTTTGTCGGAGAGTTGTTGCTTGGTGGAGCAGTAGTTCTTGCGCCATTTCGAAAGAAGTTGGTCTCTTTCGGATTCGGATGGTATTTCAGCGGGTGTGATCTTCTTTACTCTGCAAAGTATTTTTTAGATAAGATGAAGTTTTTGGCAGTATACCTAATTATTTTGATACTCGAAGCATCTTGTGGCTTTCAGCTGCAAACTGACTTGTGTAGTTTTTGATTGCCTTATTTTTGATACGATGTAAATTTTAACTGTTAATAGGCATTAAATATTGTTTTATGAGCAACTACTCTAGCCTACGAATAAACTTCGTTTTATTGAAAATATTTTGCTAATTTTCTTGAAATAATTGACTCCCTTTGTTCTATAGTAGAAGCCACAGTTAGAATGCAGTGCAGGTAAGATGGACAATGTATTTCTTACGGGAGAACGGTCAACAACGTTGCCGGTTTGCCCCGAGTGGCACATCAGGACCGGATTTAAGAATCGTAGCATTGGAATATATGCGCACACAAAAATTGCCTACGGTTGTATAAATGACTATCATTATTGTTTCAACTTAAGCATGATTCAATCATTGATGTATAAATAAAATAGTTACTATCCGTTGCAACATAATTCGGATGGAATTCCCCAGATTAAGAGACTGGGCCGATATCAAGAACAAAATTTTATTCAGGTAAACGAATAATGTTCACTTAATATCAAATTATCACTAAATGGACTTCTTTGAGAAGAAACTTTATTTTCTTTTGTCGTTTATTTAGAATAGAAGTCAGAGTAATAACTATAAATATGAGTGATATAGAAATGATTAGTAACGATGTCCTGTACATTCCTGCCACTATTTCAGGAAGTGAAGACGAGTCTGAACCGGAAAAACATTCTGGTTATATTCATCTCACACGCGATGCAAAACAAATCGTGCTTATCGTTTACAACGGTAAGTACTCGTTAAACATACTCTTTAGTTAACCTTCCTAATACCAGGTAAATTTTAAAACAACCAGTACCAGGTGGGGCGACTTCTCGCCCCAATAGTTTGTTTCACTTTTAAGCGCAAGGATTCTATGTTTCTCGTTAATCTTAACATTTTTTTAAGTCTTTATTGTGTATTGCGTTGTTTAGTACCAATTCAACAACTTAAACATCAAAGACAGAAGGCAGTCACATTCAGAAGCTCACCAAATAAGCAGGTAATTTTAGCAGTTATCAGATATCAGACGTACTTAGGGCTAATTGCACTTTAGAGACAATCCCAACTGGAAAGTGATGCTTCGAAAAATCTAGACAAAAATATGCTAATAGTGAAATTATAAAAGTTCCCACTGTATAATAGCAAGAATGGAATTTCAGAGATAAATTAAACACATTATAATCAACTGCTAATATGTAAAGAATGCGACTACACATCATGGCAAGTAATTAGTACAGTCATTAGTAACCATTTTCCAAAACTTTCGTCTAAACTGATAAAATAAGATTTGTGGAACATGAAAACACTCGATACCACGTGGGGCGAATTCTCGCCCCACATACATTTCCGCGAAATCCGACGAGAATATGTAATTTTCTGTTCGCGGTATTTTGGGTTTTACTACTTCTTTGTGCTCTTAATACATCAACTACCAATGTCCTAAACCGTCAAAGCGATTGAGTGCATTAATTACAGATATGAATAAAAACGTTAGACCTGGGGCGAGAATTCGCCTCACCCGGTATTAGGTAGGTTAATCATATTTACCGATTAATTAATTCATAAAAAATTTCAATCACAGAATTCCGAGCAGAATTCCTTAAAAAGTAAAGTTACATATTTTTTCTTAGGTCTTGTTTCGACGATTGTTAAATCAGAAGCGATCAAAAAAGACGGTTTTTTACACAAGTGCCACGATGCACTGTGTATGCACTTATAAAAGACGGTCCAGTGTTGTGAAAAAAAAAAAGACAGGATTCTGGTGTCCATCGAGTACTACCGAACTTTTATTTATCAGCTACACGGCAAACAATATATCATATGTATTCAGTGATACACTTATCAAATTTAAATAAACTTTTGAGTGAATTAAGAAACAAAGAAATAATCCCCGAGTATCATAAAACTACTTTTTGGAGGTTTTTAAAATCTAATGGTTTTATGTTTAAAACAGTGAATAAACGGCAGGAAATTATGGAATCCAGCCGTTTAATAAAGTGGAGGTTCGATTATTTGAGAGTCCAAGATCTTTTAGGAGTGAAGGGAAGGACTTGTATTATTTGGATGAAACTTGGTTCGACATCCACGATATAGTTAAAAAATGTTGGACCGATGGTAGTAAAAATGACTTCTTCCTCTAGAGGAATTAGAATTTGTATGAACTCCAACAGAAAATATACGAAAACTTTGATAAATTAGATATTGTTAACACCTAGAAGAAAGAAAGAAGACAAGCCAAGAACAAAGACAGTCACAATTACAAAATCAGTAACAATAGAATCAGAAAAATGAAAAGAGATGCAAACCAAACTTACTATGAGGAAAAATGTAAGGAGATAGAAGATTTTCAGAACAAATACGACCTATTCAACCTACATAAAAAAAGTTAAAGAAATGGCAGGGCTGCAAAAAAGAAACCACAACACAACTCTTTTAGATAAAAATGGAAATACTACTAACGAAAAGCTAAAACGATGGAAAGAATATATGGAAGAGCTCTTCGACGACTAAAGAACACCAGAAACGGAAAAAGCCCGCGGCCAGATCAACTGCCTATTGATATCCTTAAAATAATAGAAAATGAGTGCATGGATGTCCTCTTAAAGCTCTTTAATGAAATTTATCAGTCGGGTGACATACCCAATGAATGATTGACCTCAACATTTATTTGTCTCCAAAAAAAAATGCTAGAGAATGCACCGACCACCGCACGAGAAGCCTGACGTATCACACACTTAAAATGTTTTTAAAGATCATCCATAAACGCATTTACCACATGCTTGATATGGATATTGAAGAAAACCAATTTGGATTCCGTAGAGGTATAGGAACCAGTGAAGCTTGTTTTGCCCTCAACGTACTAACCCAGAGATGCTTGGATGCTGTTTCATAGATTACAACAAGGCTTTCGATAAAATCCGCCACAAAGAGCTAATGTACGTCCTCAAACCAAAACAATTACAATACAAGGACCTTTGAATTATAACAAATCTATATTATAACCAGCAGGCACACATACGCATTAGCGAACACACATCAAAAGAGTTCGAAATTAAAAGAGGAGTGCGACAGGGGTGTGTATTGTCACCACTACTATTCAATGCATACTCTGAAGAAATTATGAAAAAAGATCTTGAGGGAGAAACAGCAAGAATAAAGGCCAATGGAACACCAGTTAACATCATTAGATATGCAGACGATACTATCATAATAACAGACAACCTTCAAGGCCTCCAAAAGCTAATGAACAAGATAGTTGAGTATGGAAAAGATGGCTATAATATCATCATCATCAATCAGCCAATCGCGTCCACTGCTGGACATATGCCTCCCTCAGTTCTTTCCAGTGTTCTCTACACTGGGCCGCTTGTAGCCAGTTTCCCGTTACACGTTTAATGTCATCGGTCCATCTAGTCGGTGGTCGTCCTCGGCTTCTTTTATAATTTCTGGGCCTCCATTCCATAATACGTCTTGTCCACCGTCCATCTTGTGTTCTGGCTAAGTGCCCTGCCCAGTTCTATTTAAGCGTCGTGGTTCTTTCGATGACGTCTTGACCAAAACCCCCTCGGCTATAATATGGATTATCAATAAACATCAAGAAAACTAAAATTATGAAGATATCAAAAAAACCAAATTAAAGATGAAAGCCCGACAATTAACGGTAAAACTTGAACAAGTTAAAAACTAGAATTATCTTAGCACAATAATTAATCACACAAACGATTACTCCAAAGAAATCAAAGTTCGAATAGAGAAAGCACGAACAAACTTCAACAAAATGAGAAATGTACTTTGTGTAAGAGAACTGAAATTAGATTTGAGAGTTAGGCTGGCAAAGTGTTATATTTTATCGACTCTGATTTACGGGATAGAAGCATGGACACTTAACGCGTCGATTACTAAAAAGTTGGGAGTATTTGAACTATGGGTGTATAGAAGAGTCCTGAAGATACTATGGATCGAGCATGTAACAAACAACGAAGTCATGAGAAGAATCAACAAAAGAATGTAAATATTGGAAACTATCAAGACACGAAAGCTTCAATCCCTGGGGCATGTTATGTGTAATGAAAAATACAACATACTTTAATTAATTATACATCAGGGCAAGAGAAGTGTAGGAAAGAGAAGAATCTCATGGTTGCGTAACTTGAGGGATGGTACAGATGCACATCAATCGAACTATTCAGAGGGGCAGCATCTAGATCAAAATAGCCATGATGATTGCCAACCTCCGTCGCGGCGATAGCACGTAAAGAAGAAGAAGAGAACAATGAAAATTGCAAAAAAATTTAATATAGCTATTAAGTATAAGATTGATTACTTACTTACTGATGTTTTTCAAATGAAAAACATGTTAATGTGAAATGATGTACTATCTAAATAGTTAATGGAGATGGTTTACAAACCTTTTAATTGAAGGACTCCTGTACCTCGAATGTCCTCTAGATGGCGTTCTAGATCTTCGTCGTCGCTTGTATTCATAACTGCGGCTTCTACTTCTACGTCTTTGGCTGTATCTAGATCGTCCTAAAAATATAATATATACAGCCATAAAAAAAACGAAGTTAAGGATTGCCTTCAAATCACTTATTTACAAGACTTGCTCCTAGTATAGTTACCAGCACTTTGCACTAAACCACGTCGCCTTCTTACCCTTGTTCAGTCTTTTTCCATACCCAAATTTCATCGCCAAAAGAATTCATCACCAAAGACAATCCATTCAAGGTCCCAGTTCAGCTGTTCTCTGCACCAAGCAGTCGATTGTTCTGCAATTGACCTTGTGGACGTGAAGCGGTCCCGTAATGACAAACGCCCTGACACGCTCTTTGTGTATGACCTGCCTGATTTCATGCCAGACAACAAACCACCACAGTATACTGCTGTGTAACTTCGTAGCTATTTTTCTAAAGGACATATCTCGGCCTTACGCCATCCCACTATTCGCCTCCTATCAAATTCACTAAGTTGTTGAAAATTTGCTCGTCTTCTTAGTCTAGGCATAATTGACAGATTAAAGTAGCTGTTTACAACGTATTATAATCATTGGTCTTACTTACCACGTGATCTGGACCTAGTACTTGATCTGGAAGATCTGGAACGACTCCTATCTCTGGAATAACGTCTCTTTTTATCAACACTTCGTTTTCTACCATAGCGGCCCCTATCTCTGCTGCGGGATCTTCTATATTTACTAGGCGAGGGAGACCTATATTTTCTAAAATAGATAATAGCAACGATTTTACTTGCAAAAAGTGAGCAAATGTGAAATATATGCTAGAAATGAACATGAACATGAATATATATATATATATATATATATATATATATATATATATATATATATATATAAATATATATATATATATATATATATATATATATATACACTTCACCTAATTTATATAACGATGCACGTCATCGGCGTCATACCCTGTGGCGTCACATGATACCAACACAGAATATTTAGGGTGTAGGTGTGTTCTTTTTTAGAACCACTTTACCGAGTACACTGACATTATAGCCACTAGACATATTTTATTATATACGCGTAGAAATCATATTTAAAAATTTCTATTAATATTAACTATACTAATAATACACAATAATATGTTTCATTTAATTTGTATAAATGCATTATAAAGCGTTTTTATCAAGAACATTTGTTCGGAACACACTGTAACTGTAATCGAACAAAGGTAAAATTTTGGCATAAATTGGTAACACTTATTTGACAGTTGCGGTGTTGACACTTTTTGTACTTCATTATTTTGAATTTTAAAGTGAATATCTCTTGTTTTATATTTTTAACTATCTAATAAAATCTGTTCTTTTTAGAACAAAATTAGTGTGTTTTATTTCAAAAATGTCACGTAAGAATTTAAATTGTCGTTGTAAAGAGATGGTAATACTTTTGCAATAATTATGTAATCTATTTGATTTAAAATGGAGTCAGGATTTTTTTATACTTTGGCAACTATGTCAACTTCGATCTCTGACGTAGATAATGACGTAAGTCGTTAGATTCGTCTAAATATTCGATAGTTAGTCGTCTAAATTAGATGAAGTATATATATATATATATATATATATATATATATATATATATATATATATATATATATATATATATATATATATATTGTAGTTGTGAATTTCTTGAACCGTATTATATTAATATAAAATTAGTGTTTCTTGGGTTTAGGTTCAATAAAGATATATTACATGTGGAACTAGATTTTATTTTTCATAGCAATCAACGTTTCGGAAGGAAACCCTTGTCTTTGTCAAGATTCTAAAATGTAAATGTATAAGGACAAACAGATATTGTAAAATATGTACATATATGACTTACCAAAACGTAAAACGGGACATAACATTAACGAACTGACAAATAAAAGTTGATATCTGATATCTCATGGTTTACTGTCATTAGTACATAATTATATCGTCGGTACCAAAATACTGGTGATTATGTCCGCCGGCAAGGAGGAGGTCGTAAACAAATAACAACGGAGAGAGATGATCCATTTCTTGTATCGAAGTTCCTGAGAAATCTACATTTGACTAGTGCTAATCTCAAAGAAGAGCTTAGAGAGGTTCGAGGTGTGTTTACCAGCGTTTGGACAGTCAAAAGGAGACTGAAGACAGTCAACCTGATACCAAAAATAGCAGCTACGGGTCCCAAATTAATTGCCGGGACCGTAAAACGGGACAGAGACATTAACGAACTGACAAATAAAAGTTGATATCTGATATCTCATGGTTTAAGGTCATTAGTATATAATTATATCGTCGGTACCAAAATACTGGTGATTATGTCCGCCGGCAAGGAGGAGGTCGTAAACAAATAACGGAGAGAGATGATCCATTTCTTGTATCGAAGTTCCTGAGAAATCTACATTTGACTGGTGCTAATTTCAAAGAAGAGCTTAGAGAGGTTCGAGGTGTGTTTACCAGCGTTTCGACAGTCAAAAGGAGACTGAAGGCAGTCAACCTGATACCAAAAATAGCAGCTACGGGTCCCAAATTAAATGCAGCCCAGAAGCAAAGGCCAGGACAGCGATTTGCTTAATGTTGTATACGAGAAATTGTGGCATATGGAGGCGGTTCTTGTATGTTTTGGGCAGGCATTTCAATGGATGGGAAAATTGAGTTGGTTTTCGTGCCTGGTGGAGGAGGATTAACGGTGGATCGTTACATAAGACATTTTGAAGGAACATGCGGTTTCAAACGCGGGATTTGTTGGTGATGCCTTTATTTTAATGCATGAGTTATAATACAATAAATTGGCCTGCGTTGAGCCCGCACATAAAACCAACAGAGCATGTATGGGATGAGTTTAAACAAAGGGTCCGGGACAGAAATCATGCATCAAGGAGCATTATAAAAATGAGAGCTGCGCTTAATGATGAATGGGAAGCAATGCATTTTATTGAACATTGATTTCGATGCTCATAAACATTTTTGTTTAAAATGATCTCAGCTACATTTTTTATTTGAAACATTTTTTTCTACGTTGTACAGATTCTTGGTAAATTATTTTTTTTGCGTTTTATCCTCCTTTGAGGGGCTTTTAAGGGGAAGCCCGAGGGTAAAAGTGGTAAACTTTTTTGCATCTTTTTTGGGGTCCCAAAATTCATATTCTCTGCAAAATTCAGCTTGTTCGTATGATTTTTAGAGGTAAACTCTCTGACGACTGGACTATATATTTGTCATTGTCACTTACAGTAGAACGTCTATAAGTCGAATATCAAGGGAGACGCCAAAAAATTCGAGTTTTCGACTTTTTTAGGATTTTGACTGGGGCGGATTTTGATTTGACATAAAGAGGTTGAGATTCATTCCTATTAATTTTGAGTTAGAGGGGGTAAAATGATTAAAAATTCAAGCTGTAGAGGTAACGTTTTTATGTATTATAAATCAACATTATTTCAAAACATCCTTAAAATAAAAAAATATGTCATTAAAAATCAGTAATTTTTTTTGCTTTAGATAATTCGGTTGTTCTCTATCTATAGCATTGTCTAAGGTATAAAGAGCAGAAAATTCTTATTCTTCAGAGTTGCTGGTTTGCTCTATAAAATTCCGTAAAGTATTTTCAATGCTTTTCTGCCTCTTTAATGAAAGCCCATGGATCTATCCATGGGTTTTCTCTAAATTGTTAGTATCGGTTTTCTGAGCTACTGAATTGAGAACTTCATCAGATAATGTCCCAGAAGTCACAACTCCATTATCACACGTAACAATGTCTTCAAAGAATATTGACCGTTTTAAATATTTTTCGTGATGGCTGATTCATATTTTATTATTGTTGCCACAGTACTCATTAGTAGGCCAAATTGTTCAACATATTTCTTCTTTTGACAGCTCTTAACACCTTTAAGCACTTCTAACTTTTCAGAGAGACTCGAAAGTTTTCACTTTACGTTTCACAGCACTCATGTTTTAACAATTTTATTTGTAAACTGGTGTACAAATTGATGTACATGGCGGTAGAACCAAACTAATTCAAACAATTTTTCAATCGACAAGAAAGACTTGTTTCGCTAAAATTCCAATGAAATCAAAAATAATAAATTCATCAAAAATAGTTTTTGGACGCAGTTGGTTTACAATCATTATAATTCCTCATGATTTGCAAAACCAACTACTCCAATTCAATCACTAGTTTCTGTGTAAATCGGTATTCGAAAATCAGCCACCTCCGTTTTCTTCGGAACGTTATAATTTTAATATTGTTCTGAAGCTATTTTCTTGTGGCATTGTAAATTAATTACTATTAAACTGGGAATAAGCCACAATTAAAGAAATTGTATTTTGAGAACGATTTCCGAAGTGGAAATTGAAACGTCAATAAACGTATTTTTATCTTTAATTGTGGCTTATTCCCAGTTTAATAGTAATTAAGTTATAATTTTAACAGCTAACTCACCTAAGTTGGCCATTTTATTCGGCTTTTCAACTACATATGGGTATCGTTCCATAAAATTTATGGCAGAAAAAATGTTAAAACATAACGTAAGAAAAGAAAATATTGACAAACAGTTGGATAATAATACCAGGTATGAATATTTATTTATTTAGTAATTAGATCTAAGTAATTGCTCACCTACCGTTTTTAAAGATTTAATATTTGCTAGGAGTTAGCTGGTTTGCTTTCTTCGTTTTTACACTAGTGATGGGAGTAATTCCATATTGTTTTGTTTTAAGCAGTCGTAACCGAGAAAGATTTTTGTTACTTTAATAAAAAAAGTGCAACCATTAGGAGAGAGCAGGTAAAATACGTATAATTAATCATTTTTAAAAAAGAAAAGACACAGAAATATATATGGCTTTTCTAGATATTGAGAAAGAATTTGATAGAGTGTCCCAGGAAGCAGTTTGAAAAAGTCTGCAAAATAGAAATATTGCAAAATAAAAATATTGACCATCAACTAACAGGTGCTAACAAAAGTCTGTATCAAAATAACAAGAGTTATGCACGTAAGGATAACTTGGAATCAGAGATGTTCGCAATAAGCGAGGGTCTAAGACAAGGAGGTGTTATGAGCCCCACACTATTCATATTGATTATTGACGACATAATTAAGGAAACAAAAGCAAGTATACACAAAGTACATATCGGATATCGGATGTTAATATTTTGGTAATCGGGTAAGATCCCTTGTGCATTCGGTTACTTTCGGCTCGATAGGGATGCGTATGAACGTAACGTATCAGCCCGTTATGTTAGGTGATACGTATCTAGATACGTTAGTTCAACCATTAATGCGCATGCTTATATGTCAAAAAGATACGTTACGTATACGTATTTGCTTGCACAAAAACTCTCTAATGTCCAACAGACAGGACGAAATTTTGTTTGGGTGGTCTCTTGACGAGGTAAGCCAAAATATTCCTTTTCTCTTATATATTTTCAAATAAATATTTATTTTAGACCCTTACCGGGAGCCCTAATAGTTGCCAGAACTATGTTTATTGTTATGTAATACAAGACCATTATCGAAGCTGTGCTTCAAAATTGAAATTCTTTAAAATCTTGCACAACAAAAACTAAACCATATAGAAGTTTGCCAATTCTTTTATGTCCACCTATCCAATGCACTTTATAGCATTGAAATTGGATTATTTGGGCGGCATTATGAATTTTTTAAAAGAGTAAACAATTTTTTAGCTTATAAAACAATAGAATATATTTCTAAGGGTTTGTTCCCA